GCTTCTCTGACTGCTCCGGCAGCTCCAGAATCACCTGCTTGCATTCTTCAATTGCCTGCCGCAGCTGCTGGACATCGGAGGCCAGGAAAAGACCCACGGGGCGGGAAAAGTGGTCTTCAGACAGGCCAAGATCCATCACGCGCTCAGAGTAGTGGAACTCAGGCTCCCCAGTGGGCAGCTCAGGCAGAGTGTCTTCAGAAGTGACTTCTTGGGACTTCTCACTGGGGTCCTGTTCATGTTGTCTTGGTCCAAGCGGCTTGTTGAAAGGGTTGAGGTGGGCCTGCCGGAACCGAGCCAGCTTCTCATCATATTCCATAGCATCCCACCCTTTCATCCTGAGTGAGGAGTCATCATTGCCGCACGATTGCCCAGTCTCCCCTGCACCTAGGCATGGTAATATGACCGCTCCAATCAATAGAACGGGAGCAGAAAGATCACTCGGGACTTCTCAGAATCCTTCTTCCACCCTTTCTCCTCTGTCTGGAATGCAGATGTCATGGGGGAAGCTGTCAGAACCACCTTGAGCTGGCTGCCGCTACATTGTACCGGACCGCGATTTATCTAATTATTATGTTTAACTTTTTAGTGTATTTTGTGTGTATGGGGTGTGTTGCCTGTGTGGGTATCTGTGTACCACGTGTGCCTGGTGCTCTCTGAGGCCAGAAAATGACATCAGTTCCCCCAGAACTGGAGTTATAGACAGTTTGTGGGGTACCATATGGGTGTTGGGAATCAAACCCTGGCTCTGGAGGAGCAGCCAGTGCTTTTAACTCGTGAGCCTTCTTTCCAGCCCTTTATTATTATTTTTTGCAATAGTATTTCACCCTTGTAGCTCTGGCTTGCCTGGAACTCACGATGTAGACCAGGCTGGCCTCAAACTCACAGGGCTCTGCCTGCCTCTGCCTCTTAAGTGCTGGGATTAAAGGTGTGTGCTTCCTGGGCATTTTGTTTTATTTTTAATTATGTGTCTACGTGTGTATCTATGTATGGGTTTGTTTACACGAGTTCAGGGCCTGTCTAAAAGGAAAAGAGGAGGAGGAAGAGGAGGAGGAAGGACGCAAGAACAAACAAATAGGCTCCAGAGGTGGTTAGTAGAGAGGCTCAGAGTGAGGGCTGAGTCCAGTGTGTTTAGAGGCTTAGCAGAAGGATCCAGGAGAGGAGACAAACCGAGGAGCCTGGGGCAGGGCCGGGTGAGGGAGGCAGAGAGGTCAGCTTTCACTGGGAAGATGCTTCCTCACCCTCCTTGGTGCCGAAGGGATGAGTGCCAGGGGAGAGGAGGGTCCGTCTGTCCGGTGGAGGAAGAACTTGTGGTGTCATGACCATCTTTTCAGAGTTCAAGGCTAGTTCTGCCATTTCAGGCTTCTTTGACTTCCTTCACTCTCCAAAAGAATTCTCCTTGGCAACATAGGAGTTCAAGGCTGGAATAGATGAGACCCTGTCTCAAACTAAGCAACACACACACACACACACACACACACACACACACACACACACACACACACAAGGTTGAACATGGTGCTACACCTGTAATTCCAGTCCCAGGGAAGCTGACACCAGAGGATCTCAACATTGAAGTGAGCCTAGACAACAGAATGACGCACACATATATGTACCTGCACAACACAATAAATCATTTAAATTCAATATAATAATAATATTAGAAAAGAATAAGGAACAAAAAATAAGCTGTAGGACTGGGGGTGTAGCTCAGACACACAGCTCTTGTCCAACATGTGTGAGGCTCTGGATTAAGTCTAGAGAGAGACTCATGGGCCGACAGGATGGCCCAGCAGGTGGAGCCTGAAGACCTGCCTGTTCAGTTTGCTTTCTGTCGCTAGGATGAAACACCGTGACTGGAAACAACTTGGGGAGGAAAGGGTTTGTTTTACAGTTCCACATCACAGTCCACCACTGAGGGAACTCAGGGCAGGAACTTCTTGGAGGCAGGAACTGAGGCAGAACCACACAGGAACACTGACTTGCATCTCCCAACACCACACCAGGATCTCATTGTGTAGCCCTGGCTGTCCTGGAACTCATTGTGTAGACCAGGCTGCCCTCTAACTCACAGAGATCTACCTGCAGCTGTCTCTCAAATGCTGGGACACACATCACCCGACCTGACCATGGGGGAGGGGAGGGACTTTTTAAAGGGCTCACCAGGAAACTGAGGCAAGGAATGGGATGGTGGATGAGCTGCTCAGTCCAGTCAGCCAACAGGAGGTGTCCGGCACCCCCTCTCCGTTCCAGTGGCCCTAAGTGTAGCTCCTAAGCGGCGTGCTCATGAGGAGAAATGAAGACATAAAGAGGAAACAGGAACCGGAACTCTTCTGACATTGCTGGTTTCTAGCGAGGACATTCTTGGAACTGCTTCTTTGGGGTGCTTGCCCTACCTGACCAGTTTCTACCTCCTGTGTTCATCAATTCTTCCTTCAGGATAACCTTCAGGAAGGAAGTCAGGAAGTAAATATTGAATGTCCCTGCCCACTTAGATCAGCTCCATCAGAATTTCTGAGGGTGGGGCCCAAGGACCCACAATGGAAAGGACATCCCCACCTGTAACCTGATAATGCAATAAGTTGAGAAAACTCCCCATTGAGCACTCAAGACCACGTTCACAGTATTCCCGTCCCTTCCCCCACTAGGCTGCCCTGTATCATTTATACACTTGCCATTTACAGACTTCCAGTTCAACCTTACACTTGACCTTCACAGTGCCCCTTCAGTTCTGATTTGTAAAATGAGTGAAGGATGGCATCCCTCTCCCCATACCAACATTTTGCTCTGTCTCATTAACTGCCAAATTCTTCATGAAGCCAGTTCCTATTTCAACTGAGACTTCAAAAATCACAATTTAAAAATCCCCTTATATATCTACACATACCCTTGGAGGAACAGGACTGTGGATGGCTACCCTAGGGAGTGTTAGAAAATTAGGTTATGAGAAAACATAAGGGCTTGAAGCCAGGTGTGGTGGTGCGATCTCAGCACCTACGAAATAGAGGGGCTACCAGGGAAGTTGGGATGCCCCTCTTTGGATTCCTTAGTATTGTTAATAAAAGAATTTAAGGGCTGGTGAGAGGGCTCAGTGGGTAAAACTACCTGCAGTCAAGCCTGAAGCGCTGAGTTCAAACCTCAGGACCCACAGTTGGAGGGGAGAACTAACTCCCAAAAGTTGTCCTCTGACCTCCACAGCTACGTGGTGGCACCTCCTGGCGAGCTCTGTAGCAACCACACCGTGGATAGGCCTTCTGGAAAGAAGTGCGTTATCTCACTAGAGGGATAATTATTCCTCCCATCTCTTTGGCAAGGCTTAAGGTGAATCAGTCTTCCTGAGGCATGGTCTCTAACAGGTGATTGGCAAATGTCTTAGTTTATTTGTTTATCTATCTATCTATCTATCTATCTATCTATCTATCTATCTATCTATCTATCTATTTCTGAGGCAGGGTTTCTCTATGTAGTCCTGGCTGTCCTGGAACTCACTTTGTAGACCAGACTGGCTTAGAACTCAGAGAGATTTACCTGCCTCTGCCTCTTGAGTGCCGGGATTAAAGACTTATGCCACCACTGCTCTGCTTTTAGTTATACAATTCAGGACCACCTACCCAGGAGTGACACCACCCCTTGTTGGCTAGAACCTCCCACTTTGGTCATCAAACAAGAAAATGCTTTACAGATTTGCCTGTAGGCAATCTGATGGTGGCATTGGCTCCATTGAGAGTCCCTCTTCCCGAATGACCCTGGCTTGTGTCAAGTTGTCAGAAAAACAAACAAACAAAAAACAGAACAATAGGCCCAACTGTATTAACTCTTCTGTCCTGAGTAACTTGGAATGTTATGTTTCCACCCAGGCCAGACATAGGTTATTTTGACCAGAAAGAAATAGCTTCCTTTCCCTTATGGAGTCCAACAGAGTTCTAATATAGGTTATGGTAACAGAGGCAGGAGGATCAAGATTTGAAGGCCAGCCTTGACTACATAATGAGTTTGAGGTAAGTCTTCGATACATGAGACTCTGTCTCGAACTAAATCAACAAATGATTGAAAGGCTAGAAGCCACCCAAAACAGCTGGACCAGGGGGCAGTGGCATGCACCTGTGATTCCAGCCACTGGGGAAGCAGAAGCAGGGGGCTTTCGAACTTAAGGCAAACTGATGAACTAAACCTTTTCCTGCAGCACTTGTCTATTCTAAGTGTGATAGCCAAAAATCATGAAGTCACAACAGCAGAAAAGGGTTCCGGAAGGAAACAATAACTAAGGGGGTAATGAACTACACCAGAAGGTTTTCGGGTGTGGCCGCATAAAATCAGTAAACTCTACATCCATATCCCTAGATAGCATCATACACTCTAAGGACAAGAGGCACTGAAACTATTGGCCATAATATTAATTCAGAGACAGCCCATCCAAAAGAATGCAGGCTCATTTTAGGAAAAACAGGTATTCCCCATGTGAGCAACTAATCTATAAAAAAAAATTAAATTACATTTATTTACTGTGTGTATGGGTGGTAGGGGACACGTGCCATGATGTGCACATGGAGATCAGAGGACCACTTTCTTTGGACTGCCAGCTCCTGAAAAATGACACAGAGACTTTTTATTAATTGGGAAAGCTTGGCCTTGGCTTAGGCTTGTTCCAAACTAACTCTTAAGACTTAAATTAACCCATTTATATTAATCTACATTCTGCCATGGGGCTCGTTACCTCTCCTTAGTACTGTATGTCCAACTTCTCTGCATCTGGCTGGCGAATCCCCCACCTCTCAGGTTCTTTCCCTGAGTTCCTTTCTCTCTCCTTAGAAGTCCCACCTAGTCTCTCCTGCCTAGCTATTGGCCCTTCAGCTCTTTATTAAACCAATCAGAAGGTGCCTTAGGCAGGCAAGGAAAGACAGAGACACATCTTCACATGGTGTGATCAAATATCCCACAACACTAATCTCTTTACTTATTCAAATCTTTTTGTTGTTTGTATAGATCTATCTATCTATCTATCTATCTATCTATCTATCTATCTATCTATCTATCTATCATCTATTTGTTTTGAGTGTATGATCATGTGTGTGTGTTTGTGTATGTATCTGTTGCATGTAGATGCCAGAGGAGTGGGTCAGATGTTTTCTATCACTCTCCTCCTATTCCTTTGAGGCAGGGTCTCTCTCCCTGAACCCAGGGGTTTGCATTCTCTCAGGTAGGCTGGAAGCTAGCAAGCCCCGGTCTCTGACCCTGTTGAGAGTGGTGTTATAGGTATGCTTGGGACGCTCAGTGTGTTCCATAGGTGCCTGGATCTGACCTCTGGTCTTAATGATTGAGGAGCAACTGCTACTAACTTCTTAACCATCTCTTCAGCCCTGTTGGTTGAGACAAAGTCTCCATGTGTATCTTAGGCCAGCTTAGAACTTGCTATACAGACCAAGTTGGCCTCAGTTGTGTGGTATCCCTCCCTGACTCTACCTCCTAGGTGTTGGGATTATTGGCATACACTTTCCTATATCCCATGTATTTGTTGAACTAGCTAGCAGTTTGAGATATGAAGAGATCAAA